AATTAGATCGACTTAATCTCAATGTGGAGAAAGTGGAGACGCAGCCTACTGGACACAAGATCAGATGCAGAAGGGGAGCAGTTGTAGGTTCACACCACTCACTATCTATCTAGTGCAAGGAACCTACCTTCAAAATCAAATTGAAGGCCTACAAGAAACTGGTGATAGATGACCAGAGTTCAAGTTGAAGACTCAGAACAGAAGCTGAACTAAAGGATTGAAGTACAAAGGACATCTTCACGTCACTCAGCCATGACGAAGGCGTGGGAGACATTGAGCAACATCTCTGAAGATACCTGCTTGGAAGAACACTGGAACTGTGTGTGGAAGGAGACCTGCATAAGCGTGTAAGGAAGGAAGAAGAAATACGAAAAGGAATGGATGTCGATGGATACATGGAAGCTGATGGAGCAGCAAGAGGAAGATAGTGAAGCAGAAGATAAACCAGAGCAGTGCAATGCAGTGCAGTGCAGTGCAGTGCAGTGCAGTGCAGTGCAGTGCAGTGCAGTGCAGTGCAAGGATGCACATCGAAAAGAGGAACTGAGTACAACGTGTAAAACACTACACTGGAGAAAGAAGTGAAGAAGAGTGGGGGCAAAGATAACAGACACTTCTACGACACACTGACAAGTGAAGCAGAACAGGCTGCCGGTAGTAGACACGGAGACCTGACAACGTGATATCAAATAACCAGGTTACTGTCTGCGACGGAAGAGATCAACGCACATGAAACCAATGAAAGATAGTGAAGGAAGGCTTGTTATCAAAGAGGAGAAACAACGGAAACAATCGGCTGACCACTTCAGAAAACCACTGTATCGACCACCACCATTACTTTCAAATCGTCCAGAAATACCACCAGCAGCCCAGCCACACAGAAATACCAGTGAAGACAAGACCTCCGACAAAAGTCAAAGTGAAGTTCTGAACGGCGTAAAGTTGCTGAAATTCGGGAAATCAACAGGATCAGATGGAATTCATTCCTCCAGAAACACTGAAAACAGACGCAGAGACAACGGAGGATATGCTCGCACCATGACTGCAGATGGTTTTGAAGGAAGGCAAGTAAGGTACCTGCTGGTTGATTGGAAGAAGGGCTACCTTGTCAAACTTTCAAAGAAGGGCGACCTAAGTCGGAGAATAATTCTTGAACAAATGTTTCTTTGATGCCTAATTTCACCTTTGAACGTTCGTTATGAATGTCTTTATGAGGTCTTTTAATTCACTAATCGAACTCCTAACTTGGTTACTCAACTATAGTGGTGAATTTAAGCAAAGTGATTTGAGGTCACACAACTTAGGGTTTAGATTTTACCTGGGATCCATTGCTCTTTTATAGTGACTGATGTCTCAGTGTCAATGCTATAAGTATAAATGAAACATGGAGTGTATTTTATGTCATGAGATTGATAATATTACTTGTTGTTTAGACACGCTAATTAAACTGTAACGAATGAACTATAACGCTTGGCACCACTATTTCGCAAGTCGTAAAAAAGTGCAATCTTATTTTGACGGTCAACATGAATACTGCAACATCATTCATTAGAATAATACCATTTTTACTATTATGCTGTCTAAACCTAAGACAAGTACATCATGCTTAACTGTTTTCAGACTGTCAAATTCGAAAGCTTCTACAAAATAAATCAAATGTCTTGAAGATTCACATATATCTTCTGATAACTGAAAAGAGTATTTGCAATAAACAATATTTGATTCGGTGACAGTTGCATTGGTTAATATCAGATAACTAATTAGTGTCTTTTTGCCTATCTAAAAAAGCCTATCTAGATGGTTTCATTAGCAGTTCTAAACAGTCTGAACAGGAATCACGAGCCACCTCTAAGTTTCAATCCAATTTATGGAAGAATTCTGAAAATTATATCATTGTCTGTTGGTGGTTTTTATTTAGAAGGAAACAATAAACGGCTACAAAGTTAGCACATACTTGGGGTTTCAGCAAAACATTTGTTTCAGGAACTTATCCTATTTTGCTTTTTTTAGTAGTTAGTCTATCTTCATCTTTTTACAATAAACTCTTAAATATAAGAACTAACCAAAAAAGTTTTAAAACTTATTGTTATTTTTTTCTGTATATGAGATTACTTATTCTTAATATGTTTCATGTCTCAGAGTGATGAAAAGTTTAGCCGTAATGAATACTGAAGATATGAATATTTGATAACACATTTAAGCTAGCTGTATCAATGTAGGTGATGTGTGGATAAGGACAATATTAGAGAGCATATCAATCAGTGAATTTGCACTGCGTGCTTAGTGAATTGCATTTCTGTTTTCTTGAAATCAGTGGAGGCATCGTCTATTGATTTCATTGACTAGTACTTTAAATATTCCTATTCACTGGTCAATTTACAGCAAACATTGACCACAGTGATTCAAAAATATAACTTAAAAGTTTAGTAACCAATAAATTGATGAAAATGTAAATTTTTAAAATATCGAATCAACAGCAACGTTTCTAGTTTTTTGTCCAACAAGGAACGGTCAACAGAGAACTTATCATAGTAAAGTCTTTCTTTGACTAGATTAAGTTGATCAGGTATTATGGTAAAGATACATTTTATATTTAAAATGGAACAGCTGTTACCTTCTGCTTTTTCTTAAATAATAAAGACTGGTAGACACAAATTTGTGCTTGAATTGGTCAATGTCTCTCCTTTCAAATTTTACCAAATAAGCTGAAATTAACCTACAACAGACATATGTAATTCGAATTCCTAGTTAGAACAAAATCACTGTAGGAATACTTGTTTATGTCGCCATTTTGGCTGATTTCATTTTTAGGTAGAATGTTTTTCATTGCTAAAACTTCATCCATTCATGATCGACATTCTTACATACTTATGTAATCTAAAGATGTAGTTTATGAGCCACTCTTTACTTCATACGTTAGACTGGAATTCATTCCTGAGGTGGAGCAGTTTTTACTCGCAGAAAAATATATTTCTTGACTTGAAATATGATAGCGTGGTTTTCACAGTGACAGTTATCTTTTTCACTTAGAATAGAAAAATTAAACAACCGGAAAGCTTTTATTTTAATTTAAATAAATTTGCACAGAATTCTATAGTCAGACTATTTTGTACAAAGATATCAGCGTTTTTCCTCCTATTTAGTAGTCTTTACTGAATCACAAAGTTAGTTTACAGCACCTTGGTCAAATATCAATCGTAAGGCTTGGAATGCTAAGAGGATTTATTACTCTACAATTTATCTGTTGTATTCTTTTCCATGTTTCTATCACCCGTTAGGATGGAAATTCATGCGACTTGTTAGCAAACAGTCGGTTCGCACAATGCAGTAGGTATGGGCGTGAAAGCTTTACGTTAGGCAAACCAAAAGGTAAATCCCCTTCTATGATTTTAATAAAAGTATTATTACAACTGCTAACTTATATCTTTCAACCAATAAGACTATCTATCTTACCCTGGAAATCGAAAACCTTATACCATTTTTGAAGTTAAATTGTCATAAATTATTATTTTGAATTAAAACTGAAATCCTCTGGGATGTCAGACAAAATTTAGTCTCTCAATGTAATCGAATGTATTTATCTCCTTTGTTACAACATTAATCATCGAGTAGGTTTGAAACGGATTTTTCCCTGAAATAAGTGACAAATTTATTGCTCCAGACAGGACGTAATGTCCATATCTGAATAAACTGACAGAAAGAATAGTGCCTAAATGATGTGAGTGAATACATAAAATGAGTCACCGATACAAACAAACTCGTTGAAAATACTCAGGTTATAATAAGAATTAACGGTTATCTATTGGGAAGTACTAAAACATTGCTAAATTGTCCAATAAAAGAACCATTCATCATCTAATCATTTCTCAACATTAAAACTTCACTGTTTATGTAGCCTAAAATCAACAATCAACATTTAGTAATATAGAAACAGCATACAGTGTGATGAATACAGATTCACTTGACTAAATTTGTGACCTAAATTTCTCTTCGTAGTCACCACAAATGTAAACGCATTTTAACAATTTATGTTGACTGACCTACTTTAGCAGCTTCTAACCTCAATGTTCTTTGTTGAAATGGTATCATAAATGCATTGTGTGTATAGAATTTCAGAAATGAAAGTGACCCGTGATTTTCGCTAGTTTTTTTGTGACGAATGCCTACTTCTGAAAAAATATCATATTCCTGTAATCTGCAAAAGCCTTGATAAACAAAAGTTTCGTTTCCATATAGTATTTATATCTTCTATTAAAGAGTTTGTCTATTGTGTACGTTACGTGTTCAAAAAAAGGGAATAATATGTGATAATAAAATATTTAAAGTTGAATTCATCTTCTATAGGAAATGCAAAACTTCTGACAAACAATTTTTTAAAACGTCGTTTCAAACAATACAATGCTTTATTCTTGCCGATTTTCATCTGGATATGATGTTTTGGTACTTTACAAAAAAAGTACACAAATTATATTCAAAAAGTGATAAGTTTTACCACACTTCCCTATAATCTGACTTCATTTTACATTTATCAGCAATTCTGTCTTCCTATAATCCAGACAGTTGTTCCCATAAGAGTAAAGATATTGTTTCCTCTATTACTATATATACCATTTTACTGAAATTTGATTCGTCGGTAAATGTTTGCTGGAATGTTTTAAGTTTATTGTCCCCATGAACTATTTTCGCTACCTAATCATTTCAGTGCTTTACCTATGGTCTAGCAGTAACCTCTCAATTTCGTTTAGAGGCATGAAAATGATGGCTTCAAGGTTGAAAAAGCTACAAATTCTCGTTTATCGACCCTGAAAAGATCTTTCATTTAACCAGATTTTTGCACCCATCTTTATGGATATTATTTATTTTCATAGGAGGTTTGTAGACAATCAGTTTTCAGTGAAGGCATTATTTTGAGTACAACCACAGAATGTGATCACAGCAATTGTTGTTATCTCATATTTACACATTTAAAGATAGATATTATATTTAAAAATAATTATACTTACTGTGCAGGTTTTTCAATTTTGGGCCAATTCGATAGATGACTGGTAGGGGGTGGGAGATACTTTTCTGATTCACCAGAAATGGCATGACGTTTAACGCGTGAAGTGGATAAAATTTGTAACTTCATGCCGACTGTAGATGATTTATCATTATTTTCCCTCTCTTTGTCAATTATCCCACTGTTACTAACACTCTGAATATTGGGATCAATTCTGTCGTCAACATTGATGATTGAGCCTGACTTAAGATACTGAAGTTTACAACAGGACATTTCATTTCTGCCGTATGGTTCACTACTTACAGGACTAATGTTAGGAATATTGTTTGGAGTCGCAGTAATAATTGTGATGTTACTGCTTTTCCCATCTCCAGTTAAATTTTCATGCTGGTTAGTAAATGAGGATGAATTAACTTTTAAATACATATTTCTGTTACAATGACAAGGAGCTGACCTTTCTGTATTACACCTTCTTGGTACGTTATGACTTGATGTATCTGACTTACCGCTTGGTTTTGTAGCTCTATGATTTGTTTGTAGTTGATATGGATGATGATACTTCGGCAAATGAACTTTTGTGTATCTCTCCCACTCACTTAATTCATCCAAGTACTCTTGACGAATGTTTGGATCAGGTATCTGTTTTATGAGTTGCTGAATTAATTGATCACGTCTGTACAAGATACTTTGCAGATATCGTATAAATGCATCACGTTCCCTGATTTGGTTATCTTTTTCTTTAAACTGAATATACATTCGATGTAACTCATCTAGTAATTTGTTACTTTTTTCTGTGTCTGTTACCTTCCAGTGATTCCCTTGTCTAGGTGAATTGTGCAACACAGAGTTGCAAGATTTTGATAAGTAATTTAATTCATTACTATTCCAGCATTTCGAATATGAGGTATTTTGTTGGTAATGTTTACTGAAAACAGGAGTTTTGCTAGTATTGGGTTTTATCGTCGGTGTTGAAGAACCAGTGTAGTCAGCTGAGGGCCCATATAAATTTGCATAGCTGTATTCGGTAGGATCTCTATGCACCCAACCACGTGCGTGATCATTGTCCCCAAATACACGATAATTTTCATAATGATGATGACTAGTGCTAATGGTACCTGACTCATCTCTACTTATAGACCTCAAGGTCATCGGCGATCCTTTACTTTTACAGCCCGAAGTTGAATTTGGCAAGTTGCTAGTTTTTGGTGCAGCTTCAAGACTAACGTGTGCAATATCTTTGTAACTACGTGTAGTTTTTGAATGACGTATTACATTTGTTGTATTTCCTGAATTTGTTTTGTATGTTTGGCTCGATGGAGACTGTTTTTGCAATTATTGGCTGTATCATCTCAGGGTCCTTAATCGATTCGTTTGAAAGGAATAATTTTTTATTCCTGTTATTAGAAATTTTAGACTTAAATAAAGATGCGGGTTGTCTAGGACTTGAGTTGTTAGGGAATGACATATCTTGCGATTCCGCCCGTGAATTAAAACTTCGTGAAAGTGTAGACTGCTCAGTATTCTGTGGGTTTTGTGTGACCGTTTTTGATGCCTATTTTGTTGTATCTCCTGAATGCATTGTTCGTTTCCTGGGGATTTGCTTGTTAAACTCAACTCAGATAACACTGATCCCATTTTAAATTTCTCAATAAAACTTAAACTCTTATTGACCACAATGGAATTCCTCAATGCTGTTGCATACGAAATAGCATTGTTCGACTCAAAACTATTTTCATTAGGATTGGATGATGATAAGCCAATAGATACTCCAGTTTCATGATTTCCCTCCATTTGAGAATTCATGATAGTCGGACTTAAATCAAAGTCATTTTGTTTTGCAGTAATAGATACATGTCATATATACCATAAGTATCATTTTAGTGAAATCGTTCCACAGATGAATAATCTCCTGTAGATTTTTTTTCATATGTAAGCCTACTTTTTAGTGTGAGGGTCTTGTTTGGCTAATAGAATCACATATCTGCTCAAGACAACTGGACAAAACACACTGTGTAAGCGATCATAAAAGGGAGATAATAAACAGTGACATGTTTTATTGCTTATACTTATTCACTAGAATTGTAATTGTTGTCAGAAAATTAAAAATAGCTGACTTGTATATAATTGGTAATATAACAAAGCTGTAGTGTTACAGTCATTATGTCCACCTCACTGATTCATTATAGACACAAGATGAAAACTTAATAATAATTGTTACATTAATCTAATATTGAACAAGTATCCTAAATGTTCTTAAATATGATTGGTCAGTTTAAATACTTAGAGACTTCAGTAGAATGTAAATCTCACAATCACGAAGCGGGAAAATTCTCTTGAAATAACCATGCCCTAGAGGTAAGATTGGCTGATCTGAGTAAAAGCTATGCTGTAGATTTATGCCTACAAAAGTGGTGCATACTTGTTTGTTTGTGAGTTTAGTTATGTGTACATGTCAATGACTAAAGTAATTTAAATAAGTGTATTTTATTAATATATATATATATATATATATATATATATATATATATACCAGTGGATATCTGATTTCAAGTTCACACTAGGTTTTGACGATCGGTTCGACACTGGAAATGTATAGAACATTCTTGAAAGTAGACCGATTTGAGGATTACCTTGAAATAACTGTAATATTGAAGGTTTTTCTTAAGACAGTATTACAAATCCATTTTTCTTTCTTTACTTTTGCCTTGCAGTATTCATAGTCCATATAAATTCATTTCTAAAAAGAGTATGGAGTAAGCTGTTTAGATAACAACATGTCGACAACAGTCAGATATTTATGTAATCATCATAACTAAGGTTGGAAATTAGTGTATAAAGCGGATTTTTATAATGTGACGTAACTAAGAATTACCGTTCTTGACACTACAGAAATTTCTGGGTTCCCAATGGACTTGCTAGTTTGTGACGATTGAGGAGACAAAGCTGTTTACTACTCACTTCTGCATTTTGTGCAACTGTGATCGATTTCGCATTAGTTTATATCCCAGACTGTTGAATTTAGTACTTTCTTGCTCAAAGTATCGAATCAAAAATTTCCATCCTCATTAATGATAAACTCCCCAAACATTTTTGTAGAAAGCAGTGACCTCCATGGTTCCCTCACTATGCAGTGATAATGGAGGTTAGTCGATGACAATAAATGATTGACGAGTCCTACACTAAGAAGAAACTGGTGACAAGTACTTCGTGATATTGCTAGTCATATTAACTGATATTCATCCCCTGAAATAATTGTCTTGAATGTTAATAAAGATGTCTAAAACAGTCGCTTATCCAAAAAGGAGAATTATGAAGTAATTAAATTCTTGCAGACCCAAAAAGAACTGCTTAGTTATATTAGTAATACTGTGAGATAGAGAAAGCAATAATGTAATCCATTAAAAGACACTTTATTTTCAAGTGCACTCACAATATAAGAATTTTTGGCTTAATCCATATAACATTGGAAATTCTGTTCTAAGGCTTTCTGAATGACCTGTTAAGGCTAACAGCAAATGTGTCACAAAATAATACTAGTTCAAATTTCTATACTAGTACGCGTTATGCGAAGAACGTCTTGTACTTGCATTACCTGCAACATGTGAAATTATATGCTTACTAGCATTTCATTCAAGTACGATTGATACGAAACGAAGTTACTTAAATTAAAGGATCCAAAATATGACTATAATTGTCACCTTAAGGAGAACGTTCAGACTGAAAACGCTTTGTAGCGTATTCTTTGATGTGATTTGTGCACATTGATTGCTGTGAAGACTTTGGCCTGATTTACTCCTTATTTTGTGCACAACAAATATCTGACAGTTACGCATTTATACGTCGTCACTACTCCCTTTTTCACAAACTGCTGACATTATCAACTGGAAGATCATGTCTTCTTTTTATGAATTTTCTTAGTAAAGCCCAAGGAACAAAAGTATTGTACTGATTATCTTTATGATAGTTTAGTGCGGGTGTATTCTTGCATGCTGCGAAACAACTAGCTTGAAGAAAGGGTATTTTCAAGAGCCCTTTGACGTCTTTGTCCAATGTTTCAAGATTTTCCAAAGTCCTTAAGTGGAGATCAAAGGAAAGTCGAAATCTTTCCTATGGTTTGATTACTTAGTTTTATCATCCACTGTCTTCATTATTTCTTGCTAGATCTCTTGATGTTTTCATCCTTCATATGCTTCAGGTACAAGAATAAAGTTCTCTTCTGTTTTCCCATAAATTCTTGCTCCGGTGAATTGTACATTCACTGATACATGTGAAGCACTAACCTCCTCAAATGTCTTTGTTTTATATTTCTCATTGAGTTGTGTCTTTGTTTCATTTTTACCGATACTGAGTACGTCAAATAAGGTCTCTTGTCATTCAGATACTGTTCTTCAACCGAAATAACAGCTGTATGATGCGATTCATATTACTGCACTTAACGAAGCTGTCAGTAGTTTTTTCTTTACACATCACGTTTAGGTCTGTTGCTGAATTAGTCATTAAAGTATCATCTGAGATAAGCTCCACGCACGCATCGTTAACTCCTTAGTTTCCATGTTTTTTCTGGTTAGAGAAATAGGACTAAATACTTTTATACATGGAAGTAGTGCCTGTCCTAGTTGAACTTCAGGAATTAACCTTGTAGGCAAATTATGTTGCCTGTTTCTATTCATCGGTTAATTGTATGCAATGAGCTGAAAGGATTTGGTGCCAACAAGTTATCTACGGTCCAATTACCAGAACAGATTGATTTCCCTGGATAAGCTTACCTTTAGAATTAATCAACTGGCTCATTGATGATACAGCAAATTTGCAGTATGCACTATGAATCTTAAAAGTCCATTCAATATTCAGACTTTGACGAGACTACATTCGACCAACAGATTCATGCCTGTTACTTTGATACCATTTTACGCTGACCTGTTGCTCAGATTCTAGAGATCTTTATTGAATTTATCTTCACTTTTTGTATTTGCATCTATGAATATCGAAATCGAAAACACTAGTCAGAATTATTAAAATTTTACACTCGTAATTATTTCTTATTCTCAGAATATTCAAAATGGAAGCAGGTGTTAAAATGGCTATTTGACCACTATTTTGCATTCACCTGAATCACCTTCTTTCTAGATTCTAGTGGATAGGTTAGCATCCGGAAATGTTGCACGTTCTCGTTGCAAAACGTCGCCAATAGTCATTCTAATCACAGGCTGCTCAAAGATGAAAAGAATCCATGAAGGAGAAAAGTATCATTTTATTCTGCAAAACATGTTATTCTCACCTTGTTGATATTTGTTGATGGGACAGAATGCAAAACACAAACTTTAGCGAACTTTCAGCTGACGGACTTTAGGAAGAAATCTCATGACATAAATTTATGCACACCTTTTGGATTGACTTGTTCGGCTAATTATATATATATATATATATATATATATATATATATATATACGCCCATCCAAGCACTATCTCTAGTATCCATATGACGCTACAATTATATCAAGGTATTAGGTTAGCTGCTCGATGTGCCAGATATTTTGTTTATTTCGAACGTGTTTATGAAGAGAGTGTAGTATATGAATCAAGAAAACTCCGTTACTTGTGTCTTTATTAACTAGTTAATATTTTTTATTCTAAAAGCCATTTGTTCCATAATTGTTGCACTGCAACTGTGATCAACACAAAAATTGAGAGCCAACCACAACTTTCATAAAATTCAGAGCTTGAGATAAAGCTTTTAGCATCAGGTATAAGAAATCAAAAACAATTGTAAAATAATACATCTTAAGAGTTTCAAGAATTTCAGCGGTTCTTCTTATATCGGAAAATTTGAATTGACCATCAAATATAGTTAAATTGAAGTCAGCTGGGAGATAGGCAGTTTCAAGATATCACAATCCTACGTTAGTGTTAGCTAGATATAGAACAAGTCCAGGATCAAAAGTCAGTAAAACCATCATTTGCGACAACAGCAACAAATAAACCTGAGTCTTCTCTAACAAATCAACAGCATTGGCTCATGGTAAACCTGCATCTCAACAAAAACTTTCACAGCTTTAATTCTTCAAAATTAAGTGCAATTATTTTGATAAATACTGACTAGTAGTTCAAACCAAGCGATAAAATATGTACAATTTAGGACTTCTCAGTTGAATTTTCTTCCTTCCGGTACGATAACGCTTTTACTCACCCTGAAAAATCATCGCCTAAAGCACCAAAAACCATAACCCAGAAAACTGAATGATGCCAGTTATTCCTTGTCGAATGGGAAACCTTCCCTTCAGAAACTTTAAATACCCCAAGGGCATCTCACTTAGACAGAATTATTCAGTCAATACTCGCATATCCACTTCTTATTAGATGACATCATATAGAAATGAAATTACCAGCTGCATCGTAACCATGAGCAACGAGCCGAATAGGCAAAAAAAGGACTATGAAATCAGTCAAATCATTTTATTACTATCACTTATAAATAATTCGCCCTAAGATTCCAGCAGAATATAGGGCTTCAGTAGCAAGCCTCCATTGCACTCTCTTCTCCCCAGGATTCTTCCTTAACCTGACTCCACGACTTCAAAGAAGCTTTCATTTATTCCTCACACCACCTCCTCCATGTCACTCTCGCCTCGGTCGCCCAACTCATCGTTCCCCTTCTGGATTCCAATCGAGGGCCTCACCTGACGCCTGATATACCAGAATGGTCTTCTCAGTGTATGCCCAATCCAATCCATCTCCACTTTCTTCTGCATATTTGTTGGGCGATGGGTTCTCGGTTCGTTGGTTCGTCGTCAGTCAGACTGAGTTCCTTCTTGCTTAGTCTGATTATTCTGACCAGTGAGCATAGGCAGCAGCTATTGATGAATGTCTCTAGTTGATTGGAAATGCTTTTCGTAACGCGCCAAGCCTCTCAACCATCACATGGAAGCACTGACTTGACTGAATTAGTGTTCAAAATCCGGATCTCAGTCGTGCTTTATACTGAGTGCAGTGCAGTGCAGTAGATCACCATACTGGTTTCAGGTTGGTGAAGGCCTGCCCTGCTGTCTTTCCGATCCTGGCTTCGACGTCCTCACCTGTGCCACCGCCACCGCTAACGCCACCGCCACCGCCTGTAGTTGAAACGATGCTGCCTAGATAGGTAAAAACTACTACCTACTTAAGGGTTCTCCAGTTGATGGTGATTGGTGCTTGTTGTTGTTGTCGTTGTTG